GTTCTACAGGAAGCATTCCAGAAGAAGGCATTGTTGTCATAGGAGACGAGAGCTCCATGTGTTTATTGCCCTTGAAGACCTTTCAGTGGGATGAGATGTCTGGCAGAAGACAGTGATATTGCTGATCCTGGCCTTGGGTAGGCCTAAGTTGATGTGTTTCTGTCTTAATTTTTAACAAAAATGTTCTTGAAATAAATGCAAAAATATTTTAATAGGAAAAAGCTTATAAGAATGTAAAGAAAGAAAATATTTTTCTACAGCTGTGCAGTGTGTGTTTTAAGCTAAGTGTTATTACAAAAGAGTGGTAAAGTTTTTTAAAAATTAAGTTTATACAAGAAAGTCAAGCTAAGGTAAGATTAAGTTATTCTTGAAGATAGAAAAGTATTTTTTAAAAATTTAGGGTAGCCTAACTGTACAATAATGTCCTGGACCTTCACATTGATCACCATTCACTCACTCTCTCAAGGGCAACTTCCAGTCTTGCAAGCTCCATTTATGGTAAATGCCCTATACAGTGCACCATTTTTAATATTTTATACAGTATTTTCGCTGTATCTTTTCTATGTTTAACTATACAAATGTTTAGCCTGGTGTTAGGTTGCCTGCAGTATTCAGCAGGGTAACATGCTGTGCAGGCTTGTAGTCTAGGAGCAACAGGCTATACTGCAGCCCAGGTGTGTAGTAGGCTAGACATCTAGGTTTGTGTAAGTGCCTCCATGATCACTTAATGAAGAAATCGAGGAGGGACACATTTCTCTGAGGTCTCCGTGGTTAACCAACACATGGCAAACGCTTCTTTAGTTGGTGGGAACACAAGCTTAAACAAGACGTCCAGCCGGGAGGGACAAAGTGGGCACCAGGAGTACTTACTAGCAAGGGAGAATTGATTGACAGGTAACCCACACGCACTCCGGAAGTCACACATCACAAGTGCACAAAACAGCAGGCAAAGTCCAAATCACTCTTCCTATCCTGGAGGCTCCAGCCCTTGACCGCCCCTCCCGAGTCTGCCTCTGTCCCTGGCTTTCCCGGTCCAAGGCACCTTTGAACTGGGAGCCTGACCGGGCTCCCAGAAGCCCCCGCGCTCTGCTGGCATTGCGGAGGGGGCCTGTACTTCTGGGACCCAGGGTCGGGACCGAGGGGCCTCAGGGCGGCTCTGTTACCCACGAGGAGTCACTTGTAATGGACTGACGGCAGTGATCACCCGACTGGGAGGGAAACTGTGCTCTGCAGCTTCCTCGCTGGCCTGCAGAACGTCCCTACGGCTTTCAAGGGGGCGTTATTGCGTGAGGGCACGCCCACTTCCGGTGAGAGGTTGACGTGTTAGAGCGAATCCGTGGGGTTCCAAGGAGAGAGCGGGAGGGGTGGCGGGCGTGATAGACGGCAGTGCGTGGCGTGTGCCGTGTGCGTGGGGGTGCGAAGGGGCGTGTGTTCAACCGTAGGAGGATGCGACAGGTGGGGAGGGTGGGGGTGTACGTTTCTGCGTCGGTGGCCGCCGTCACAGTAGCTCGTGAGGGATGGTGGGCGTTGGCGTGAGGGTTTGAGGAGGCTGTGAGCTGGAGCCCTGCGGAGGAGACCACCCTCCTCAGACCCAGCCGCCCGGGAGCCGGCGTGGGCCAAACCTCGGGGTGCGGGGCAGGGTCCAGACCGGGCGAGCAGACACCTAGCAGCGTCCCCTTGGCGACGTCCTGACTGAGTGCTGAGGTAAGAGTGACAGGTGGCTTCGGGATGCGCTGTGCCTGGGGGCCCAAGTATTCGTGCTGGGTGTCGGAGTGGCTGAATTGAGGGAGGGATGTTGACTTGCCCAGTGTCACCTAACCGGACACACCCCTCCCCGGTTTGTGGGCCTCGCCAAGGACCTGGGTGGAGAGCGTCCCCTCTTCAGGGAGTACTTCAGTATTCATGTGTCAGTCCTCTTGTGCCATGTGTCACTGTTGGGTGGGACTCGGGATGAGGCGAGGTTTGGCTCAGTCACCTTCCAGGACATGAACAAAAATATTTCAGTTCCTCCCACTCATCTGTCTGTGCCCCCCCCGCCCCCCCCCGCAGTGAGTACACAGAAAGGAGAAGAAGTTCTGCTCTCCCTGCGGGTGGCCCAGTTGGTCAGACTCCGGTCCTGTACAACAGAATGTTGCGGGTTCCAACCCTGGTCAGGGCACGTATGTGAGGCAGCCAGTCGATGCTTTTCACTCTCTCCCCAACCCCTGCCTCCTCCTTCCTTTCTCTCTCAAATCAATAAACATATTTTTTTTAATTAAAAAAAAAAAGTGCTGCCCATAGTCCTGTTCTCTGTTTCTTTCACAGCATGCAGTCACAGTTGCTAATGGTTACGACCCGCTTACTGTGGGCCAGACACAGTTCTGAGACTTTTGGGAGCGTGAACACCAAACCTCAGAACACTGGGATGTGGGAACTACCTTGTCTCCTCCTCACAGATGAGGAAGCTGAAGCACAGAGAGGACAAATAATCACTAGAAAGAGGAGTCAGAATTCACACCCAGGACACACTGACTGCATACACCCCACTCTATACTGGCTCTCACGTAATCTCCTCCACAGGGGCTCACGGTAGGTTACTTTAACCGCTTGTGACCATTGAAAGCCTACTCTGAGAGGCTTAAATAACTTCAAATGTTCCGATCCCAAAAACCTCCACATTTTTTTCTTTCTCTTTTTTTTTTTTTTTGAGAGAAACAGACTTGTTCTTACACTTTATTTATATTTTAACCCTTACTCGAGGATATGTTTATTAATTTTTTGGAGAGAGAGGGAAACATGAATGTGAGAAAGAAACATCAATCAATTGCCTCCCATACATGCCCTGACTGGGGGTTGCATCTGAAACCTGGGCATGTGCCCTGACTGGGAATCCAGCCTGCAGACTTTTGATGTATGGGATGATGCTCCAACCAACTGAACCACTCAGCCAGGGCTTTCCACTTATTTATACATTCATTGATTGATTCTTACATGTACCCTAACTAGGAATTGAACCCACAACCTTGGCATATTGGGACATCATTCCAACCAACTGAGCTACCAGGTTGGGCTACTTTTTTTTTTTTCCCTTAAATTTTCTGAACCACTTTCTCTTATGTAAAATGGAGATGATACTGTTATATATGTCATAGGACTGTTAGAAGGATTAAGTAAGCCCATGCCTGTAAACAGGTGGTGTAGTCCCTGCCACATAGTAACTGCTCAATAGATGTCCACTCTTACTGGGTTGGCCAAGAGGTCTGTTACATTTTTTTCCCTACGATGGCTCTATTAGTGCTTAGGTGTCTTTAATTTCATTCGAAATAGTTTTGTTAGATTGTGTTGTGACAGCTGTCATAGTAGCATGCATTTTTTAAAACACTTACCAAAATTGGTGAATTTTTGTGCAGCCATTTTAATATTGAAGATGGAAGAAGACATGCAACATTTTCGGCATGTTATGCTTTCTTATTTCAAAAATGGTAAGCCCTGGCTGGTGTGGTTCAGTGGACTGAGCACTGGCCTGTGAACCACAAGATTGCCTGTTTAATTCCCAGACAGGGCACATGCCTGGGTTGTGGGCCAGGTCCCTGGTTGGGGACATGAAAAAGGCAACCAATCTATATTTCTCTCACACATCTTTGTTTCTCTTCCTCTCTTTCTCCCTCCTTTCCCCTCACTCTAAAACGAAATAAATAACATCTTTCTTAAGAAGGTAAAAATGCAACTAAAACACACCAAAAAATTGTGCATTATATGGAAAAGATTCTGTGACTAAACATGTCAAAAGTGGTTTGCGAAGTGTCTTGGTACTATTGACACTTTGGCCAAATAATTTTTTTTGTGGGGCTGTTGTATGCATTGGAAGATGTTTAGAGCACCCTTAGCCTCTACCTAGTAGAAGTCAATAGTAGATAGATAACATACTCAAAATATCCAAATCAATAGTTATTGGCGAAAATGAAAAATGTGTCTTTTATTTTACAGAAAAAAACAATGGACTTTTTGGCAAACCCAATATTATCATTATAATCATACTTTCAGAAAGCTGTGGAGTTTAGAGAAAAGAAACTACAACTGAGTCAGAACATTTCCTGATAGAGGAAACTTGGCTTAGAGAGCACAAGGGACTTTTTTATGTTTATTCTTTTTAATCCTTTCCTGAGGATATGTTTATTGATTTTAGAGAGAGGGGAAAGGAGACAGAGAGAAACATCAGTGTGAGAGCAAAAAATCAATTGGTTGTCTCTGGTACACGCCCTGATTTGGGGATCGAACCCACAACCTAAGATGTCCCCTAACCAAGAATCGAATCCGCAGTCTTTTGGTGTAATGAACGAAGCTCCAACCAACTGGACCACCCGACCAATGCAGTTCTTTTTAAAAACTTCTGTTTGTTGCAATGCAAAATGAGAACCTGGGTCTGCTTACATTTTTTGGTCCAATGATCTGCAAGCCACATAGATTCTGGGGAAGATGGATTGTTTTTCTAAATCTCATAGAATCTATGGGAATCCTAGCTAGGTAGTTGCACAGGGAGCATATTTCCTCTTGTATTTTGGTGTCTGCTTGAGCAAATAGCTTGGATGATGGAGTCAGGTAAACCTAGGTTGGTGACTGGGCTCCATTATTTATAAGCCATGAAAGTTGTGCAGAAGACTTCGCTTCCCAGAGCTTTCATGTGTGAAATGATAGTATTTCCTATTTTCATTGAAGATTATGAAGGTTAAATCAGAGTATTAATAGATGCAGCCCACCTGATACATCTCTTGTTAACCAGTGGGTGGCTTTGGGAGAGGGAGAAGGCCTGCTCAGCCTGAAAACCCAGAGCACAGCAGAGGACCCCAGCTGTAAATTACAGGACTCCCAGCAAGTGTCTGGTCTGGGGGGTGATTGGGTGGGATTGAGTGAAAACGGAGCTGAAGGGAAGCGTTTCTAGGCTCTGACTCTCAGAGCTGCTCCTTCTCTCACTACTCTTTTTCTCCTTCCCCAGCTCTGCCCTTGCAGGCAAAGCCCTTCAAATGAGGAGCCAGGAAGAGGAGGGGGTGATGGGAATTGAACTTCTTAAAGCCATGGCCCTGGTGAGTTAGTATACCTCTTTCCTCCTTACAATACAGTTTTGCTTTTCAGGATTTGGTAATGTTTCATTCTGAAAATTGTCTCCCTAATAGTCCCACCCTGGGGCCTGGTTTTTATTTTCTCCCTTCCCCATGAGTGGTGTGGTCGCAGGGACAGACTCATGCAGCCCAGTGCTGTCTCAGAGCTTCCTCTTCCGATTTGGTGTTTATTCTTCATTCAAACAATGACCCACCTGAGCCCTTCTCTTGTGCTCAGTCTTTTTGTAAGAAGATGACTATGTACAAGTACAATCCTTTGAGGAAATTTGAGAAGGAACTAGGATCTGCTTAGTTCCTGGCCCTCAGACAGTTTGCCATCTATTGAAGAAACGAAAAGGTAGCAACCTTTTACTTATACAACGTAACTAGTGCTGCACTGGACAGCAGACTTCTTGTGGAGCAGTGGAGAAGGGTCATTAATAGCCAATATAAGCACCTTTGATTGCTTTAGAGAAAAGTGCCCCTTCCTCTGGACTGGTGAAACGCTGTGACAAGCCACAATCCGGCAAGAGGATATCTACTTTATTTTAGCTCCACTTTGCCTCCTTGGGAAGGGGTTGGGAAGACTTGAATCACGGAGGAAGTGGAGATCAAAGATAACCTAGGCCCTGGCCAGTGTGGTTCAGCTGGTTGGAACTTTGTTCCGTAACCAAAAGGTTGTGGGTGTGGTCCCCAGTCTGGGCGCTTACAGGAAGACACCCATCAGTGCTTCTCTCTGGCATCCATGTTTCTCTCTTTCCCTTCCTCTCTCTCTAAAAGCAATGAAGAAAGAAAAAAAAAGTCCTCACTCTGGCTGGTGTGGCTCAGTGGATTGAGTGTAGGTCTGCAAACCAAAGGGTCACTGGTTCAATTCCCACCCAGGGCACATACCTAGGTTGAGGGCCAGGTCCCCAGTAGGAGGCACTTGAGAGGCAACCACACTTTGATGTTTCTCTCCCTCTCTTTTTCCCTCCATTTCCCTCTCTAAAAATAAATAAAATCTCTTCCTAAAAGAAGAAAAAAAATGTCCTCGCATGAGATAAAAAAACTTAGAACAGTAAAAATTGCTTTTATTTTATATCAAAGACACAAGAAGCAACTTACATCAAAGCCAAACACCTTTTCTTACCAGATATAATGCCAAAAACATGTACTACGAAAGGAACTTACTTCTTAGAACATTTGAACATTTTAAACAAAAGCATTATTGTTGTCAGAGGAAAACATTTTAAGAGTGGCAAAGTATGGCCTAAAAGTTAGTAACGTGGACTCTGGAACCACACTACATGGGTTCGAACTCTAGATCCACTATATATTACATATATCACCTTAGTTTCAGTTTCCTCAATCGATAAATGGGAATAACAATAATAGTAGTACTTTATAGGACTGTTATGAAGATTAATGTGTTAATATGTCATAAGTTTGTAAAGAAGTGTCTGGCACCTAATATGCACTATATAAGCATTAGCTGTATATGCTGCTATTTGCTTCCATGCCCATGGTGTGGTTTTTCATACACATATGTATATACATATATACCTATACATATACACACATATAGGCTGAAGAACTACAATATGATGTTTGATGCAGAAGAAGCACTGAACATGAGGATTTTTATTTCCAATGAGATATTAACTTTAAAAATAATCATTTACACTGAATTTGGGTGAGGCCTGGTTCCTGGTGAGATGGACCGAGCACAGTCCACCCCGTCTTTCCCACTGAATGCTGCTGTAGAACCAGAAGAACATGTCTGGAACAGCAGTTTTAGGATCTCTAAAAAGTAAACAGTAGCAACAAATTAGAAGAAAAGCACAAAATACGGGGTACCACCAAACATGTGGTATGTTCACCTTTTTTATCCCCTCCACGTATCTCCTAGCATAAAAGCCAGAAGTGCATATTGGCATGGACAGAAAGAACTACAGGAGAAACCTTTAGGTTCAGGCTCAGGTACTGGAAAAGTGTTCTAATTCTCAGAGAGTGGGGGCAGAAATCCTCCTTTTAAAAAAAAATTTCTCTACCATGGCTGGTGTTTCTCACTGGAGTGAGTGCTGGGCTGCAAGCTGAAAGGTGGCTGGTTCGATTCCTGATCAGGGTACATGCCTGGGTTGCAGGCCAGGTCCCCAATTGGGGGCTTGTGAGAGGCAACTGATTGATGTATTTCTCACACATTGTTGTTTCTCTCCCTCTCTTTCTACCTCCCTTCCACTCTCTGTAAAAATAAACAAAATCTTAAAACAAACAAATAGCTTAAGTTTACTGAACAGAAGAAAATTTGGAACATAGGTGGTCTGGCTTTAGAGACCATGTTTTTAACTGCTGTAGTATTCTGAAATTAGGTAAAAAAGAAGTAAAACTTTCGTTAAAGTATTAAACCAAATGTTTCACCTGTTTTTGGCCTCCTTCTCCTTCCTTACCTTCTCTCCCATCCCTCCTCCATCCAGAGCCTGTTACTTTATTTAATTCTCACAATGCTGCTATGAAGTAGGTACTCAAATTATTTCCATTTTCCAGGTGGATAAACCAAGGCAAGGCATGGGGGACGTAGCTAACTTAGCAGATTACCTAGCAGATTACTAGTCAGTACCAGAGTCTGAATTCAGAGTAGAATAATCTGACCTTTTATTCTTAGATGTTAATATAAGTGAAATAACAAAATAAGGAATGGGATATTTTCCAGCAAACATGGAGTAAGTAGATGGATGACTGGCGTCACTTGCTAGCTGGCTCAAAAATTCAGCCCATGTAAGAAAACACACATTGCTTGGGGTGCCTACCTCATATGATCTCCTGATACTTCTTGGCAGATCATTAAAAAACAACTTTCCAAATGTGCTCTTCTCCTGTAACTCAAATATATTGGCATTTCAAAATAAAAGAATGTTGTTAGGCATTTTCCTTTCATATTTTTTAAGCACACCTTTTAGCACCTGAAGAATACTAAGATTTCTTATAATATGTTGTGTAGATTGAAATCAGGTTCATCACGTCAGCATCCTTCCTTCAGGTGTTTCCAGAGCCCTTTGATTTTTCCACGTAGAAGGGTGATGGAGTTCCTAACATAGATAAAATAATTTAATACTTGAGGATATTGTTTTGAATGTAGTAAACTTTAAAAAAAATAAATGCTTACAAATTTCATAGGATTGTAAATGCCTCTCATATTTTTTATTTTTCCTTAGGCAGAAAAGCTGTCTAGTAACTAACTACCACACCTGGATCAGTTAAACACCACCCCCCCCCCAATGCAAGTACTGACACACATCTTTTTTTCACCACAAGTATGAACAGCATAACCCTTTACCCCAGAGCCAGCTGAGTGGGGACATAAACACTGACTGAGCAATATTATATTTCTGTCATTTCAGGATTTAGTGACTTTCACAGATGTGGCCATAGTCTTCTCCCAAGATGAGTGGGAATGGCTGAATCTTGCACAAAGGATGTTGTACAAGAAGGTGATGTTGGAGAACTACAAGAACCTGGTTTCAGTGGGTAAGAATATCTGCCTCCTTCACCTCCCCGTAGCAGTGTTTCTACTTCAGGCATCTCACATGCCTTTATCAGCATTTTCCTACAACGTCCCTCCTCTCGCAGTCCCATTTGGACTGAGTTATAGTTCTGGAATCACCACAGCATAGCCAATTTTCTTATCTTATATGCAGGTCTTTGCCTGTCTAAACCATATATGATCTTCTTATTGGAACAAGGTAAAGAGCCCTGGGTGAAGAATGGAGAAATGACAGGAGACCCGTGCCTGGGTAAGTACAGGATTACTAGAGCTGGGAAACTAGTCTGAAAATGTTGTTCCCAAGCCTTGGATGGGTAGCTCAGTTGGTTGGAGGGTCGTCCTGTTATGCCAAGGTTGCAAGTTTGATCCTTGGTCAGGGCACATACAAGAAGCAACCAATAAACACATCAATACGTGGAACAACAAATGAATGACAATGTCTATCTGTCTGTCCATGTGTTTCTCAAATCAGTAAGTAAAAAATAATAATAATAAATTTAGCTTTGGCTGGTGTGGCTCAGTGGATTGACTGCCCGCCTGCGAACCAAAAGGTCACTTGTTTGACTCCCAGTCTTGGCACAGGCCTGGGTTGCAGGCCAGGTCCTCAGTTGGGGGCGTGTGAGAGGGAACCAATCGATGTATCTCTCACACATCCATGTTTCTCTACCTCTCTTCCTCCCTCCCTTCCCCTCTCTCTAAAAATAAATAAATAAAATCTTTAAAAATAATAATAAATTTAAAATTGTTTCCACTTTTGGAAAAGACCTCTCAGAATCCTTCCCAAATTGAAACATCTTGTTCTAACTCCATTTTAAAAAGTGGTTTTTCTATTCTTCAACTGGTATGTTGTACCAACTGTATCTTTCCTGAGTTCCTACAAATTCTACAGTCTTGTTTCTGAATTCTGTTCCACTTATGTTGACCTAGTTTTGCTCAAGAACCATATTGTTACAATCATTCTAACTCTCAACATTTCTTAATTCCTTAGACAAATTTGTGTTTAGTTTTTTGAACTTGTTTAAAACTTTTCCACCCTGGCTGGGTGGCACAGTTGGTTGGAGCATTATCCCGAACATCAAAAAGTTGTGTGTTTGATCCCCAGGAAGGGCACATACCTAGGTTTTGGGTTCAATCCCCAGTTGGGGAGCATATAGGAGGCAACCAGTCGATGTTTCTCTCTCACATGGAAGTTTCTTTGTCTCTCTTTCTCTCCCACTCTCTCCCCTCCTCTCTCTCTAAAATCAGTAAAATCTTAAACCTTGGGTGAAGATTGAAAAACAAAAACAAAACTTGGATTAAGTGGATAATATTTTAGGAGATTATAAATGACCACAACTGATACCAGATAAGAGAGAGAATTTCAACAGACCTATTACAACTGAAGAAATGTAGAAAGTTATCTAAGAACTGCCTCCCCAAGAAAAACAACTACTCCAAATAGTTATACAAATAAATACTCTAAAACGTTTAAGGAAAAATGTCATCAATGTTGGTTAAAATGTTTTATAACAGAGAATAAAAAGAGCTTTGAAAAAAATGGATTTATAAAGACAGCATAATTTTTGATACCAAAATAGCACCCAAAAATAAAATTACAGAAAAATCTCAATTACAAATACTAGTATAAAATCTTAAATTAAAATTCATGTTGAAATAATATACTGTAGATAGTGAGGCTTTATTCCAGAAATGTAAATTAGATCGCGTTGCCTAACTTCATCTAAGAGCTGTCCAGAACATTAACTTCTGTGGGCTCAGTAACTGTTTTCCTTTGGGAAGTTTCCATTATTCTAGCATTAAATAAAGAAGGCATTTGCTTTTTTAATATCTTTCAGACTTGGAGTATATGTGGATGACCAAAGAATTATCTCAAAACCAGGATATTTATGAAGAAAAATTATCCCAGGTAATGGTTATGGAAAGAGTTACAAGCTATGATAACCCTGAATGTTCCACATTAGGGGAAAACAGGCAGGGTGAAGACCTGTCTGAGAGGGAGCTGGTAAGTCAGCAGCCACATTTCAGGCAAGAGACAGTTAGTCATATAGGTGCACTTATCAAGAAAAAAGACCACTCTAACAAATCTGGGAAAATTTTTCATCTGAAGACTTTATCTTATATAAAACACATATTCCCCATTGAAGAGAGAATATATAATTTTGACACTGATAAGGAAAGCTTAAAAACACATTCATTTGTCAAAAAACATAAGCAAGTCTATGGAGAAAAGAAACTTCTGAAATGTAAAGACTGTGAGAAAACTTTCAGCAAAATCTCAACCCTTACTCTTCATCAAAGAGTTCATACCGGAGAGAAACCCTATGAATGTATTGAGTGTGGAAAAGCCTTTAGCCAGAGCGCCCACCTTGCTCAGCATCAGAGAATACACACGGGAGAAAAACCCTTCGAATGTACTGAATGTGGGAAGGCCTTCAGCCAGAATGCTCATCTCATCCAACATCAGAGAGTTCACACAGGAGAGAAGCCATACCAATGTCGTCGGTGCACTAAAGCCTTCAGCCAGCTTGCACACCTCGCTCAACATCAGAGGGTCCACACTGGAGAGAAACCCTATGAATGTGTTGAATGTGGGAAGGCCTTTAGTGATTGTTCATCCTTGGCTCACCATCGAAGAATTCACACTGGAAAAAGACCTTATGAGTGTGTGGACTGTGGGAAAGCATTCCGGCAGAATGCTTCTCTCATACGTCATCGGAGGTACTATCACACTGGGGAGAAACCCTTCGACTGTATTGATTGTGGGAAGGCCTTCACAGATCACATAGGACTTATTCAGCATAAGAGGATCCACACTGGAGAGAGACCTTATAAATGCCACGTGTGTGGGAAGGCTTTTAGCCACGGCTCATCCCTAACTGTGCATCAGAGAATTCACACAGGAGAGAAGCCTTATGAATGTGTGCTCTGTGAGAAAGCCTTCAGCCACCGTGGCTCTCTTACTCTACATCAAAGAGTTCACACGGGAGAGAAACCCTATGAGTGCAAGGACTGCGGGAAAGCCTTTCGGCAGAGCACACACCTCGCTCATCATCAGAGAGTTCACACTGGGGAGAAACCTTATGAATGTAAGGAGTGCAGCAAAACCTTCAGCCAGAATGCACACCTCGCACAGCATCAGAAAATACACACTGGAGAGAAACCTTACAAATGTAAGGAGTGCGGTAAGGCCTTCAGTCAAATCGCGCACCTTGTTCAACACCAGCGGGTTCATACTGGTGAGAAGCCTTATGAGTGCGTTGAGTGTGGGAAGGCCTTTGGTGACGGCTCCTATCTTGTTCAACATCAGAGACTCCACACTGGAAAAAGACCATATGAATGCCTTGAATGTGGGAAGGCGTTCAGACAGAGGGCGTCCCTGATTTGTCACCAAAGATGTCATACAGGAGAGAAGCCTTATGAATGTAACGTATGTGGGAAAGCCTTTAGCCATCGTAAATCCCTTACTCTGCATCAAAGAATTCATACAGGAGAGAAACCTTATGAGTGTCAGGAATGCAGCAAAGCCTTCAGCCAGATTGCCCATCTTACGCTGCACCGAAGAATCCATACTGGGGAAAGGCCCTATGAATGTAAAGCATGTGGAAAAGCCTTCAGGCAGAGTGTACATCTAGCTCATCATCAGCGAGTTCACACTGGGGAGCCATCCTCATCCTCAGTTCTTCCCTCCTCCTCACCCCCATACCACCAAGTCCTCTAGAATCCATCCACTTTTCCCCAATCTGGGCCCCATCATCATAGTCCAAGACTTTTGCAATAGCGTTATTGCCATTTTCCTTCTTGCTCCTCTCAAGTGCATAATTTTAACAGTGTAGCCAGCTTAACCTCTTAAAATCAAAACCTGTATTCATGTTACTCTTCCATTCAAAACACATTTTGAAGAATATGTTAAATAACCCATTTACTCCTTAGCATATAATTATTGCCATTAAGGTAAAGGTTGGTTGCCTGACAAGTCATGTTCAGCTGCAAGTAAAATGAAACCAGAAGGTCAGGATTAAGAAACCTGCATATTTTAGAGCAGACAGAGGACTCTTTACTCTGCTGCAGGTATGAAAGATGAACACATTCCAAATTGAAAGATTCTATGATACACCAGGTACCATGGTTGCTTACTGCTCCCTCTGTATGAATAAATATGAGGACATGTAGCATTGTTGATACGGAACTCTCTTCACCTGGCACTTAAGTGAAACTAGGCCAATTAGGACAAAAGTGTTTTGTAGAATGTACAGCCAGCCAGGGAACAATATTAAAAACAAACTCAAATAAGCTAGAAAATAAGTAGATATGTAGCCATGAAATAAACTGGAAAAGGTAGTTCAAAACTTTGACCTGTAGAAATGTACCACAGACAATTTCTGGGATATTTACATTGCTCTAGAGCATAAAATAAATATAAAGCTTCCCATCTTATTGTATGAAACTAAAGACTGACACCAAAACAAAAACATATACTGCAATTATATGTATATATTATACATACAATGTATATGTTATATGTATAAATATATATATTAAAACATAGTTAAACTTATTTTAAAGCTAGACATGTCTCTCTATAGAAAGACTCAGTCTGGCAAAATATTTCTCCCTGCATTAAATATGTAAATTCATTAGTGTTCCAGTAAAAATCCTGATATATTTTTAAGCTGACAAGCCAAATCTGACTTTCTGTAGAATTGTGATATAGCAAGGAATGTAGTAATATGTTGTTAATGTATTGTAATGTATTACTCATTCAATTAATGTTAGTTGAGCACCTAGTAATGTGTCAGGCACTGTTTTAGGTGCTAAGGATATCCTGATGGGCAGCTTTCCACAGCTGGGTGGAAAATGTACGGAGAATCAAGTGGGAGAAGACAGAAAAAATTGAAAATATGCACAACGTGATAAGTATGTGATTTGTACCATCATGAGAAATGATCTAAAGAAGGAGCTGGGAAGTTTTGGAAGGAATGCCTTACCACCCCCCAGAACATGTGAGCATTATAGGCAGGGGAGGGGGAAGAATGAGAGGTGATTATTGGACACAAAGGGCATAATGAGAATAGTTACAATAGTCCCAAGGCAGATAGGACACTTTGAGTGGTGCAGGAAGAGGGATTTGATGGTTTAACAAGAGTCATGAGAGTTCTATTCACTCTTTAGCAATAGTGATTTAGTGGCTGGTGGAGGGTTTTTTGTTTTAATTACAGCCTCACTGAGATGTAATTCACATGCCATGCAGTTCAGCTATATGAAGTGCACAATTCAATGACTTATGTTCAGAATTGTGTAACCATCACCACAGTTAATTTTCAAATATTTTCCTCACCCCAAGAGAAATCTCATGTCCTTCAGTAGTTCCCCCCACGCCTGGATTCCTCTCACCTGGAGCACCAGAGCTCTTGGGTTCCATCGTCACTGCTGCTGATGGCAGCACAGAGGGCCATGTGAAGGGAGCTCCTATCCACAGGACATGGATTTTAAAGAGTGCAGCTCTGGGGCTCCCTCTGTCTTTTGGCAGGGCCCAGAAGCCAGGAGATGGGCAGGCTCATCCTGAGTGTGTGGAGGTTTTAGACTCTCCTTTTATATGATAAAAAGGATTCTTTGTTGCAAGGGGGGGGGGCGCGGGGGGGGGGTAGTAATCAGATGGCGGTGGAACACTTAGCTCTCTGGAGAGACAGATCTATCCCTGGCACACTGATGAAGCTCTGGAAGATTAAAGATGGAAATATAAACTATTAAGGTACAAGACAAACCTAGAATATTTTTATAAACTTGGCTTGAAACAGGCCTTCTTAAGCTCTGCATGTAACCCAGGAGCTGGTTTTTATTTGGAAAACATCAGTCAAAGTTAATAGACAAAGGAGAGGCTGAAAGAAATTGCTTGCAACAAATAAGGGATAATCCTATTATTCAAAGCACCATTGCAGCCCTGGCTCAGTGGATTGGGTGCCAGCCTGCGAACCAAAGAGTCGCCAGTTCCATTCCCAGTCAGGGCACATGCCTGAAGTGCAGGCCATGTTCCCCAGTAGGGGGTGCTTGAGAGGCAACCACACACTTACGTTTCTCTCCTTCTCTTTCCCCCTTTCCCTCTCTAAAAATAAATAAACTATCCTTTAAAAAAGCACTATTGCAAATCAGTAATAGTAACATCTGCAATTCAGTATATAAGTGGACAAAGCTGACAGCCAGTTCAAACAAGGTGAAATAAAAACAGCTAATGAAAACAGCCAATATCACTACTAATAAAAATGCAAAATAAAAGTGATGATATATCTACTTTTTCCCAATAGATTGATTTTAAATCACAGAAGAGTGATAATACCCAGTTTTGGCGAATGTGTGAAAAGACAATGCCATTGTCAGTTAAATAAGTTGCCACATGTATATGGTATGTATATAATGTGCCATCTATATGTATATGCCATATGTATATATTGTTCGAATCAACATTCCTCTGAAACCAAAGTGTACAAAGGTAGGTAAATATATAATGGCCAAAAAATTTTTTGAAGTGGTAAACTATTAGGTAATGGGTAATTATTGTGTATTTATTCAATAATTATACAGTTTAAAAAAGAAATATAAACATGTATATAGGCATAGAAAGATAACCATGCTATCCGAAATGAGAAAATTTTTTCAGACGTGTATTCTAGTTTAAACTCATTGTGATATCAAAAATAAAACCTAAATTATGTACTTTTCTGTTTTTCTCTGCCTGGTTTTCCTTGCCTCCTTTTGACTACAGCATCTCTTATCCTTTGATTAAGTGGCCACCCTGCCATATGGTTCTGACGAACGTGGCTGATCAAATACTCTGGAGTTTGAATGCAGTTCAATCTGTGTTGTCCAGTGGCAACACCCTAATAGTGGTGGTCTTTGGAGCCGCCCTGGGTATTGTGCTTTCTAAGGCTGTAATCTCTCAAACTATCATTGACGTTCCAATTGTTCATTTTCCTGCCATCAGACAAACAACTGATAAAGAATTTGGTGTGGAGATCGAGTAATAAGCAATAGAATCTTTAGAAAATTTGAGGTGTTAAGGATTAGTTTGGGGTGAGATGGGGCAAGTAGGATTCCTGTTTCTTTTCTAGCCTAGGAAAGTAACAGCTCATGGTGTGGGCACTGGGCAAGTACCCAGTGAATTATTATTAGTTGTGACCCCCTGACAGAACAGAGATGAGGGTCCTAATAATGACTGTTTTAAGAGGAAGAGGAATGCTAGTCCAAAGACTTTATTTGATGCTGGTATACAACTGCTTTGGGTAATTTAAAACTCAGTTTATCCACTTTTTATATCAAGGCAAAAAATTTCAACTAAGGTTTTTGTATGATATTGTTGAAAGATGTCTTACAACGTTTGAAGTCATTGTGCTAAGATTGTTCCAGCCCTGGCTGGGTAGCTGAGTTGGTTGGAGCATTGCCCCAATATGCCAAGGTTGTGGGTTTGATCCCTGGTCAAGGCACATACCAGAAACAGCCAATGAATGCATAAATAAGTGGAACAAATCTATGTTTCTCTCTCTCCCTGCATTCCTTCCTCTCTCTCTAACAAAATTGCTCAAAACCAAAATCAGAGACTCCTTTCATGGGTTGCTAAAGTGGGATGTTGTTTAAATTCCATATTTAGTTGCAGAGGGATTGCTATGGACTGATCTATATCCTGGCCCCAAAAACCCATATGTTGAAGCCTTAAACCCCAAAGCGACATATTTGGAAATAGAGACTTAAAGGAGGGTATTAAAGTTCAATGAAGTGATAAGGGTGGGTCCCTAACCTGACAGGACTGGTGTCCTTATAAAAAGTGAAAGAGGCTCCACGGCTACTAAAAGAAGTTGTGACAACTGAGAAATGTTTCTGGCAATTTACCCAGAAGGACTGGCCTTTATAGGAAGTTGGTCTGGAGGTTGACACTGGAGCCATATAATGAATTGAGGGATTCAAGATTTCAAGATCACAGCGTGAAAAATTCCCACCAACCACACCAGATGTGGCCTTCACATAAACTGTTCGTGCTCCTTGTATCCAGGGAGCTTGGAACTCAAGGAATGTTCTGGAACGCTCCTCATAAAGACAATAGGTGGTCATCTATGGGCTGTTCTTTCCATTAAACATTATGAAAATGGTTCCCAAAGAATACTGTAACTTAAAAATTGGGACTGGCACCACTGAGGATGTCTTTTTACCCAATATTCGTGAGTTTTCAGTATTATCATTGATGTCTTAAAATGTAGCATTTTCAGGAGAAATAAGAGACAGATCAAATTCCGAATAATTTTAAAGGTGATCAAAGAGAGAATGTGCCTTAGTAAGTGGAAGAGACATTAAGTGGCAAAATGAATATTAATGTTGAAAAATCAAAATAATTTAGAAAGAACACATTGTTTTGAAAACACATAAAACAGATATAAGGTATTCTTGGGATCCATAAGATCAATCAATTATGTAAGCTTATCAGTTGAAATGACTTTTTTTTTTTTTAATCGGAATATTTCCTTCCTTGAACAAAAATATAGGTAGCCTGGAAATGTCACTTCAATAAGCAGAACCAGAAGAACAAAAGTATTGACAAGATTAGGATGAAGTAACAAAGGAATCTTTTAAAATGCATGAATGTTTTGTAAATAGCTAAATGCACAAAAAGTTGCCAGTCATTCCAGACTCCCAGAAAGTCAGAAAGGAAAAAAATTAATTTAATTTTTAGGAGGGAGGGGAGAGAGACAGAACTACATGAAAAAATTGGGTATCAGCTGGACTCTCACCCTGGGCTCCTGGTCCTAAGGGTGAGAGGGGAGGCTCAGCCTCCCCCTGCCCCGACCCCCT